CAAGTCCCAGGTTGCTGATCTACTTTCTTCCTCATTGACACACAATTGCAGGGTTTCAATTGTTTCTCTTACTTTGACAGGACAACATAATATTATATACTGTACGAGTATATCGTTTCTCACTCTTGATGGTTTATTTTTCTTCATTTTTGTATTTATTTATAGTTACCTTATTATTATATTACAGTACTATCATTATTATTTTTTCTATTATACTTTATTTATCTCATTAATAATTATTATTGCCTGTATTATTTTCATCATCATCATCATTATTATATTCCCCCCCCCCAGCTGCAATGTGGCTCAGTACCCTATGCCTGAGTGGGCTAATCCATGTAAAAAAAAAAAAAAAAAAAAAAAAAAAAAATCTAGTAGAGGTAACCCTCGCTATATGAGTGGGTTAGGGTCTTTGAAACCACTTGTTAAAGGATTTCAATATTCATATACCAAACCTAACATACAGAAAAAATGGGGTTTGGTTCACAATTGGAAAAAAATCTAACTACAGGTTGTACCTCTCTAGTCCGGCAACCTCGGGACCTGACCAGTGCCGGACCATGGAAATTCACCCTTTTCCTGGATAGATAGTGACTTGTGCATACACTTGGAAGCACTAGCACCACTTTCACTGCTTCGTGGTCTCTTTGAAGACATATTGAAGGGTTAAATGTTGTACAGTAGGTTCTCAAATTTTGCGAGTTTTTAATTCGACGTTTTTTATCTGGACAAAAAAAAAACACTGCACAATTTAAAATTTCGACGGCGGAAACTCAAATTTCGACGGGTTTGAGCGGCCCGCCAACGTTCAGACGTGTACAATTGTGTAAACGGCGTCAATTCTCTGTTTACAAAAGATTCATTATTGTTTATTACTGAATGTCTTTTTGATTGAATTAATGTTTATGTGTGCAAAATGAACAATACAATTCATTAATAACACGTAGAATATTAAAACACATGAGGAGACGAGACAGCGTTGTTTTTGTTGTTTACAAAACCAGTGACTGACTGGTTCTACATATAAAACTGAAGAAAATAAGACCCTGGTTGTTGCTGTCGTAAAATTAATATGGTTGTTTTAAGTAATGTTATTTAATGTTAATAAATGGAACAATGGAAGTAGCTAACCATTAATGGCAAAGGAAAAAATTGAGATCGCGTATGTAAGTGCGCACATATGAAAACATATCGTCATTACTCTACATAAGAATATGAACGCAACACTTATTTACTGTTCATATATATTATAATTAATATTTCTGAACTTAAAACAAAAATTCTACCCATCAGTGGTGGTAAAGTTGAAAACATAAAGACAGCCAATGTTGTTGTGTGTGTGTTTTTACTCGGATGACGAAGTTGCCAAGCCATCAGGTTCAACTCTAGCTAAAGCTGTAAAACATAAGAACTTTTCTGTGTTGTTTTTAGTTTTTATTTAACTTTATCTGTGTTATTTTCGTTGGTTTATTAGGATGTTGCTTTATTACAGGTAGTAATTCGCCAAAAAAGTAGGGTAAATAAGGCAAAATTTAGCTAAACATCAAAAGTACCAGATTCAAATAAATTTTTTCCATGGGCAAACTAAAATCGTTCCGGACCACGAGAGTTTACGGACCACAGAATGCCGGACTAGAGAGGTACAATCTATACTGTAATTTACTACCTAATTACAGTGATTTAATACCTTAATACATAAATGTAATTCAGTACTTAATTACCGTACTGCAGTTTAGTTCAGTTCAAATACCAAACAAGAGTAATTTAATACATAATGAATGTAATTTCGTACCCAACTAACTAATTTAGTACCCAACTAATGCAATTTATTACCCAACTAATGCAATTTAGTACCCAACTAATGCAATTTAGTACCCAACTAATGTAATTTAGTACCCAACTAATGTAATTTCGTACCCAACTAATGTAATTTAGTACCCAACTAATGCAATTTAGTACCCAACTAATGCAACTTAGTACCCAACTAATGTAATTTAGTACCCAACTAATTAATTTTGTACCCAACTAATTAATTTAGTACCCAGCTAATGTAATTTAGTATCTAACTACTGTACTTTAGTACCTAATACTGAATACTTATGTACAGTACCGAGAGCCAGAATTAAAGCAGAAAATGACAACTGAATGCAATGAGATTATCACACACATGGTAATGAGAGTTAAAGCCTCGTGTTCACAGACAACCAATACCACCTTCTACTGTATGTGTCTTGAAGTACACACAGTAAAAAAAAATTATCACACGGGGGGGGGGTTCTGCTGACTTTCGTAACGATCCATACATCACCTGATGTGCCGGGAGGGTTGGTATGCGTGCCTGTATGGCAAAGGTTTCCACCTACCTATGGTAGGGCAATATTAGTTACGTCCCACAGGACCGGCATAATATCATCAACACCATTATATTCATTATCTTACACACACATTCCACTATCTCTCGTCCGTGGTGTACAACTTATTACACAACTTGTACTGCACAGTACTGAAAAGTATTGTACTGTACCATAATGTACTATTCTGTACTGTACTGTGCTGTGCTGTGCTGTACTGTACTGAAGTGTTGTACTGCACTATTCTGTTCTGGAATGTACTATACCGCACTATACAGTGAACCCTCGCTTTACGCGGTTTCACTTTACTTTACGCATTTCTACGTTTCTACATTTACGCGGTACCCTGCCAGAACCGCAATTCCCACTTTACGCGGTGCATCTACTCATATACGCGGGTGAAGTATAATTTTTTATTTAGCTCATAAAATTCATACAAATTATCCGGCCAGAATATAATTTACATTGCTGGAATTCTTACAATTTGATGATCATTTTGAATATAAACATCACAGATTTTGCATTAGACATACAAATTTTAGATCTAATGTAAGTATTTTGTTTACTCTGAGTAAATATGTTATCTTTTGTGCAAAATATATAACATATATATTCAAAATATTCCTGGTCTTACAAGGAATCCAGCAATGTCAATTATATTATCCTAACTTTAGTTTGAGGTATTATTTATTACTATACATTAAAATCTAGTGGTTTTCCCCCAAAAATTTCTCAGAGAGGGAAGAGCCAGCAGTGTAGTGTGAGAAGAGGGGGAGGGAGTCGAGTCCATTATTTGAATGGACATTAACTTGGCGACTGTATTTCTCTATTTCTCTTAAGTATTAATTGTGTGCATGTACAGGTTGTACCTCTCTAGTCCGGCATTCTGTGGTCCGGAAACTCCTGTGGTCCGGAACGATTTTAGTTTGTCCAATAGGTAGATAGGCAGTTTTTTTACTTATCTGAATTATTATTATTATTACAGGAGTATTAAATTTTTGCCCCTCAGGCCCCAATGTGGGTCAGTGACCTATGCCCGGGTGGGCTAATCCCCTTAAAAAAAAAAAAAAGCCGCGGGAAATTAAGGTTTGTTTACATCCGGCAGTTCGGCTGCTCTCTCTCTCTCTCTCTCTGCTTGTCTATACAGAGTACAACATTTAACCCTTCAATATATATGAGCAGTAAATAAGTGTTGCTTTCATATTCTTATGTAGAGTAATGACGATATATTTTCACATGTGCGCACTTACATACGAGCAGTCTCACTTTTTTTTTTTACCATTAATGGTTAGCTACTTATATTGTTCCATTTATTAACATTAAATAACATTACAGGTACTTCAAGCAACCATATTCATTTTTTACATTAATTTTACTACAGCTAAACTCAGGGTCTTATTTTCTTCAGTTTTATATGTAGAACCAATCAGTCACTGGTTTCGTAAGCTTTAACATAAACAATGCCGGCAGCCGTCTCGTCTCCTCTAATATTCCACGTATTATTAATGAATTGTATTGTTAATTTTGCACACACGTACATTAATTCAATAAAAACAAATTCAGAAACATTAATTAAAATATATATGAACAGTAAATAAGTGTTGCTTTCATATTCTTATATAAAGTAATGATGATAGGTTTTCACGTGTGCGCATGCGCACTTACATATGCGATCTCTCTATTTCTTTACCATTATCGTTAGCTACTTCTATTGTTCCATTTATTAACATTAAATAACATTACTTAAAACAACCATATTAATTTTACTACAGCTACAACAAAGCCGCAGATGAGCCCAACGAGTCGTTTTATTACAGAATTATAAAGGAAAACGATGGCTTACAATCAGCATTTCCAAATGTAGAAACGGTTTTGAGGATATATCTGGTGTTAATGGTCTCCAATTCTACCGGGGAGCGTTCCTTCACAAAAATTAAACTGATAAAAAAACAGACTGTGGACCACGATGCGCAAGGAGAGAGACTCAATCTGATCCTATGAAGCACCGAGTCAGACAATTTCAAAAGAACTTCCATTTGACAATGCGATACGTTTATTTGCTAGAAAACAATCACGAAAAGTGCATTTGTAAATGTGTCATTATTACTAGATTTTATTGTATCTATTGACCTTGGATATTACCTAGATTTATTTTCAGTTGTCAGCAGGGGGCCCCCCCACTGCTAGGTGTCGACCAGGGACCCCCAACCCCTTAATCTGTCACTGTATTTAATGTTTTGTAAATTCTATTACACGTATACAGTACAGTACTTTGTATGTATACTTTTTGTGTGAGTTGGAACCAATTACCCAATATCTCATTGAAATAATAAATTCAGTTAACGAAATTTTTGGTTAACATCCAACTCTGTGGAACCAATTGTGTTCGTTAATCAAGGGACCACTGTATTGTATTGTACTGGACTGTACTGTCCAGTATTGTACTGTCCATTACTGTCCTACATGGTACTGTCCATTGTACTGTATTGTATGGTACTGTATTATATTGTACTGTACTGTAAACTTTCAGTAAATTATAAGTAATGTTTAGGAATATCTTTCATATAAAAAACACCTAAATTTACCCCAAATTACCAGAACTTGAAGAATAAAGACAAACCTGAATGAGATGATCCACTTGTCACTCACCTGGTCCATTACTCAGGAAGAGTCCGTCATACTGTGTTGGGTCGAGAGGATGGTCCCAAGGTACAACTGTAACACTAGCTTTGCGCTTCATAAGACACCGCAATTGATTAAACTTCAAACCACAGTCAACTGCCACTATACGAACGTCACAGTCTGGGTTAAACGTCCGAGGTTCCTGTACACATATGCAGTATGTTAGTTAAATTCTAGAAGAAGAAGAAGAAGAAGAAGAAGAAGAAGAAGAAGAAGAAGAAGAAGAAGAAGAAGAAGAAGAAGAAGAAGAAGAAGAAGAAGAAGAAGAAGAAGAAGAAGAAGAAGAAGAAGAAAGAAGAAGAAGAAGAAGAAGAAAGAAGAAAGAAGAAGAAGAAGAAGAAGAAAGAAGAAGAAGAAGAAGAAGAAGAAGAAGAAGAAGAAGAAGAAAGAAGAAGAAGAAGAAGAAAGAAAGAAAGAAGAAGAAAGAAAGAAGAAGAAGAAGAAGAAGAAGAAGAAGAAGAAGAAGAAGAAGAAGAAGAAAGAAGAAGAAAAGAAAGAAAGAAAGAAGAGAAGAAGAAAGAAGAAGAAGAAGAAGAAGAAGAAGAAGAAGAAGAAGAAGAAGAAAAGAAGAAGAAGAAGAAGAAGAAGAAGAAGAAGAAGAAGAAGAAGAAGAAGAAGAAAGAAGAAGAAGAAGAAGAAGAAGAAAGAAGAAGAAGAAGAAGAAGAAGAAGAAGAAGAAAGAAGAAGAAGAAGAAGAAGAAGAAAGAAGAAGAAGAAGAAGAAGAAGAAGAAGAAGAAGAAGAAGAAGAAGAAAGGAAGGAAGAAGAAGGAAGAAGAAGGAAGGAAGAAGGAAGGAAGGAAGGAAGGAAGGAAGGAAGGAAGGAAGGAAGGAAGGAAGGGAAAGAAGAAGAAGAAGAAGAAGAAGAAGAAGAAGAAGAAGAAGAAGAAGAAGAAGAAGAAGAAGAGAAGAGAAGAAGAAGAAGAAGAAGAAGAAGAAGAAGAAGAAGAAGGAAAGAAGAAGAAGAAGAAGAAGAAGAAGAAGAAGAAGAAGAAGAAGAAGAAGAAGAAGAAAGAAGAAGAAGAAGAAGAGAAGAAGAAGAAGGAAAGGAAGAAGAAGAAGAAGAAGAAGAAGAAGAAGAAGAAGAAGAAAGAAGAAGAAGAAGAAGAAGAAGAAGAAGAAGAAGAAGAAGAAGGAAGAAGAAGGAAGGAAGGAAGGAAGGAAGGAAGAAGAAGAAGGAAGAAGAAGAGAAGGAAGAAGAAGGAAGGAAGGAAGGAAGGAAGGAAGGAAGGAAGGAAGGAAGGGAAGGGAAGGAAGGGAAGGGA